CGACCCAGTGTCCTTTTACAAACACAACAGACTACACAACGTGGACAAAACGCCACACCCCAGACTCCATAGCCTGTCTCATTGTGGAATAAGAGCTTCAATTTAGATCCTAAACACAAAACTGATGCATTGAAATGATTTAATCCGACCCTAATCAAGGTCTTGCTTACGCGACTGCAAATTCAGTGTGATTAGTTCCATAATAGTCTCAATATGCACTCGGAACTGGCAGACTTCATGATTCATTTCTGCTCTGATTGCTGACCGACTGGTCAATAACTAAAAATATGCCTTGTTTTCGGATCGGTAAGGATGCAGGTTGCAATGACAACTCTCCTCTGTGAGGAAGTCGTGACTGAGGAAAGATGACTCATAGGCTTCCACACAGGGGAAAAAACAAACAAAAAAAACAAGTGGAATATATGACTCTAAAGTTACTTTTTTTTTTTTTTTAGCTTTTTGAAGAGCTAAACTACATCTTTCATTTCACATGTCGATTACAAAATCTTGGCAGTCTAGGGTAAAGGTAAGATTCTACTTCTCGATGGAGAATACAGTCATATTGATGTTGGGCAACTCTAAGAACTAGAATAGGTTGCCATGTCAAATCATTATGATGTTTTTGTTTTAAAATGACACTGAGATTCTGTTCCAAGCGCTGAGCAGTAGTTCCTCTGGTTCTAAAACAATAAATTAATGATTACTCCGGACAAAGAGGCTTTTTAAAGCTCTTTTACATCTGCAATAAATTAATAAATTACTAAATCTAACAAGAGCACATCTGTTTCTTTCCTCCTCAGATCTGAAGCTTTATTCTGAGTAGATCTTATAGAAAACAAATCATGTAAAAAATAAATTTAGAGATATATGTAAACTGTAATTTCCCTCCCCAGGTTTTAATTATGCTGATACCTCTATACAAGAACCTGGGAGAATTTTACTATGCGTAAATATGAGGCTGTAACTTTGAAATGCATTAAGAAAATAGTGTTTTGCAACAAACATTTTTAAAACTAGCATATCCAAAAAGCAGAAAAATAATATTTGTACTCTACAAGCTCTACAAAATCGGTGGATTAGAATTCAGCCACAAGACCTCAGATCTGTGCACCTTTAAAACACGTAAATAGAAAACACAACATAGTGTACAAGTTTAGATTTCCCGACTGACCCATTTGTTTTGTGTCAGAGAACAATGGCAGTCAGCTATACGTGCTCTGCGTGACGCTGGCAAACACAAAGCTTCTCATTGGCTGCACCACTGAACAAAGCTAAAGCAGGAGCAGGCTTTTTATACAATTTCAGCAGATTTAAGTTTCTTAGAATAATTCCTATTTTTGTCATGGACAATTTAATTTGCAGTAGCGCCGATATTGCAATAAGCGTATGAGCAAATTACTTAATGAATTTTTAAAGCAGAGTTTAAAAATTAATTTCGGCATACAAAACAACAACAACAAAAAAACAATGACAAATGTCTAAAATTGGACAACAATGTTTACAATTTTTTGTGGCATTTGGAGGCTTTTTTCCAGCTAAAAGACAATCAACTATGTAGTATTGTGTTGTCAAAGCTGATTTTAGCTGGTTGCTGCTGTGTTAGTCATTTCTTGACATCTAAAATGTGGACACATTACGCGTACTCCACAAACACAACATACTTTAAGACATAACCATCAGTTCGACACTGACGGACTTTTGTGTTGTTGATACTGCCGTCCCCTTTGTCCTCGCTAGCTTGCTGTTAGCCGCTTCGTGCTACCGTTGACACTAGCATCGAACAAACGCTGCGGCTAACGATGCTATCTAAATCTCGTCCAAGTTGATAGCCAACGGCCATCAAACTATCGTGGAAGTACTGTGTGTATTTCTGGGGCCGCTGCTACACAACGACACGCATACATACAGTTAAAATGCTCACATTACACAACCAAACCGAAGCCGAAGCCTGGCAACAACAAAGGTGTATCAAATCTACAGGAGGCAAAAAAAAAGGGCCTCGCAGAGCACAATCCCATCCCGACATTGCTCGCCGGGATTCAAGACAACAGAAAAATTGCGAAGAGACATCCTTTAAAAGCCCGGCTATAGCGAAAAAGGAAGCCAGCTACTCGCCGGTCCAACGAACGACTAATTAAGTTTGACGCATACCGGGTGCGAAACGTTAACAGTAAGTTGAATAGTGTGAAGAAAATGTGTGTTTTTATTACCTGCTAACACGCTTCACTCGGCCAGCAGTAGACAAGGTGGTCACGTGACGTGCGCTGCCGCGGTGGATGCTCCCCTCTGATCCAACTCTCCCCACGGCACTTAAATGCTCATTATTACCACCAACCAGCATTGAGAGATTAAAATTGTTTTCGCCCTTGAACAGATTTATTTAGCGGATTTTGTTGCTTCACTTCCGATTCTCATATTTGTTACAGTGCTGCGCTGAATGATCAGAGGATTATTCGTGTTAACTAAGTTCAAATGAACGAAAGTTTACAATAAGCCCTTCGATTGTAAAACCATTACCACGTAGTCAAACATTAAACACTGCTTATGATTATTATGAAATATCAGTCTATTTTTTTATATAAATGTTTGCTCCCAAATAAACTGTTGGGCTATTACTACCTTTCAGCAAATGGCTTCAAATGCAAAAGGAATTGATGTTATGAATATTGCAACTAAAGAACCTGACTTCCAGGTTATCAAGAACTTCAAGGTGAAAGGTTAACATATAGAAAGGAAGTCTACAGGCTATTCAGGAAAACCAGGAAGCACCTTAATGGTTTCCTGTTAAGCGAGTCGTTGTTACCACCAGTGCAGAGCTTGTGCAATAATGGCAGCAGGGAGGTCTGGGAACCTCTGCACTGCCTGCAGAGAAAGGGGCTGGGAATTACTTGTCCTCACAAGTCAATTTTTCAGATTCCAGCTGACAAAAATTATTTTGAAAAACAACTCCCAAATAAGTCAGAATTTAATACTTTTGATCATTTTAAGTCAGTAGCAGAGATGGTAGAGTACAGCCACTTTTTTGTGAGCATTTTCCTACTCTTTATCAACCCTTACAGAAGAAAGATTTATTATCTACCTGTAATTCTACTATCAGTTTGGAAATCTCTCTATCTAGTTTCTTGACTTGAAGAACACGCTCAAGAGGGCGTGACATGACTCATCGGCGGACCTTCGATTATCAGACTAGTGACACGAAGCGCAGCAAAGAAGACGTACTCTGTCCAAGAAAGACTTTAGCTGCAGTTCTGCAGAAAGGATGGACTTAAGGGTGATGCCAAGTTATTTTCTATGATGAATTCCTCCTTCCGTTGTGTACATGGGCAAGATTGCTTCCTATGATCAATATGTGTGTCAGAAACAACTTTATCCAACAAATTTTCCAGCATAATGGAGCATTGTTACAGAGGCCAAAGCAGTTACAAAGTTATTCTAAGATCATGAAAACAGGGATCCAAAACAAACTGCAAAGAAATTAAAAGGTGGATCTTCTGTTATAGGCTGTGGATTATTAGTGATACAATAAACAGCACCAAACCAAGACTACCTAATGAGAAGGTATGCAAGACCAGAAGTTCCCAAAACATTTCATCTTCTGAGCCCCAACGTAGTGGAAGAACCTTGAGATAATAACAAGTTAAGTATACAGGCGTTATTTTGTAAGTCAAATGTGAATGAAAACATCACTTTTGATAACTTTTAGCTGTCCGTTTTCCTTTTTTTTTTTTTTGTAAGTTTAAATGCATAAACAGGGTCTTCCAAAAAAAAAAAAAAAAAGAAGGTGGACGGGGAGGTTAAATGGGATCTTATTGGGTGTCCTGACCAAAACATTGACAACCTCTGGACTAGCACATTTCTGTAAAGAGTTGCTTAAGTAATTTTTTTTTTTTTTAAATCAAGTTGACATCTCAAAAACAAAACAAAAAAACAAAACAAACAACAAAACAGATACATTAATATACATTTTATTGTATTATTTACTCCTTTTTAAAGAATTAGATTTATATCCCCAAGTGTTTATATCTTACAATATCCTGTTTCAGTCATTTGTAAAAACATTCACGAGGCTTGTATAAAAAAAAAGTGTCACCAAGGAGACGGATCAATCCACACAATTTCTTAGGCATACGGTACACAGAAAATGTCCGCAACTGTCCTTAATGCATTTTCTTTTTTTTACGAACACACATATATACATTTATATATATATATATATAAAATACACTTAAGTGTTGGTTGTTTAGTCAATACTTGGTCAGAATTGTTTCATTTCATGTAGAAAAGGAAACTGATGATTAATTCTGTGGCTGTCTTTCACAGAAAGATTTCAGGAAGGCAAAGACGTAGCTGAAGCCAACCCTGATTCGGCTTATAACGAGGGGAAGCACAGCCACTCACGGCTTGTTAAAAGAGAGGGCGAGTGGCTATGAGAGAAAATATATATATAGATATATATGTGCCAGGAGAATTTCCAAACATAATGAGCTTTCTTTGCATCACTAATGAGAAACTGTTCCCGATGGATTGTATCTGATCACGCTATCAAAACCATCGTCCTTTAGAAGAAACAAGATGAACAATCCTGACCAACAAAATGAAGTCGACAAGGTATAAAGGTGGTAAAATAAATACAAATGAAGTAAATTAGATCAGCATGGGATTGCCCGTTGGATCAAAGTGGAGAAAAAAAAAAGTATTTCTATATTACGTCCTAGCAGAGCAATAACACTGCGCTTATCAATTCTAACACGATTTTTCTCCTTTACATCTCAGTGAAGATAAGAGGAAGAAGAAGAAAAAAAAAATAAATCTCTCACTTGATCCGGTTCTTTGTTTTACTTCTGAGAGCAGAGGAAATAAGTACTTTGCAAGTGTTGATCGTTCTCAGATGTCAAACTGCACTCGTGCTCGGTCCATCTACAGGAATGGCATCAGTAATCCTTCAGTCATTATTGCTGTCCATTTATGCGAAAGAAGGAAAAACTATTTCGAGTGAATTCTGTTTTTTTTTTGTTTTGTTTTTTTTGTACAAATACACTTATTTATCACAGAGAAAGCAGCAGTTAACACTATCCTTGAGTACAAAAATAAGCGAGCAAAAGACCACAGCGTAATCCCTGCAGGTTGGATGTGAATGTATTAATGATGCTAAAATGAATATTTTTATTCTTAATGTTTTTCAAAACTCTGAGTTTCTCAGTGGCAGACTTTGTAGCTCTTTAAATTATTAGTTAATTGTACATTTTATATACATTTCTATTTATATTTATATATATATATATATATATATCTATATATATATATAAAAGGGGGTGGGGAGCAAAACAGATAAAAGGTGAAAGGGGTTATTTGGGGAAGATGAGAACATAAAAGTGGACACAAATATACACAGCAACAACATTAAATTATGAAACATCATGCTCCTGAGTCCAAGTGTGAGCAAAACAGATGATCTGCTGATCAAAACAGATCCCAATGAAGGTGATGTGGATGAACTTAAGCGAGTAAGATGGAGGGACTTCCGTAGAACGATGGAGACGTAGGGAAGGAGCTGATTGACGAAAAGAGGAAGAGGCTAACTCCACAGTCCTGCGTAGTTTCCGTGCAGGCCAGAGCAGAGCGGCCCACCGGCTACGAACAGCTTGGTACCAGAGTCGTCATAGCAGTGGGTGTACACGGCGTTGGGGAAGGAATGAATGTCTGAGAAGTAACTCCTCCATGTTTCATCATGATTCTGAAAGCAGTCCCGAACAGGAAGGCAAGATTTGGAGATTAAACAACATTTTTCTGCCATCTTTCAGTAAAGAAATCTTTAAAGAAAAAAAAAAAAAAAACAAAAAAAACCCACTTACCAGCCAGCCTTTCCCTGTGGTTAGCTTAAGGATGCCATCTGGGGCACCCTTCCGATACCCGCTGGATGGATTGAAAGGGTTCTCCAGGAACCTATGAGCCCGGATGTCGTAGAAGAGAAGAGAACCTTGACCGGTACCCACAGTCACAATGTGCTCATAGAAACTCACGGATCGGATCCCTGCACAAAGACATAGCTAAGCATTAATGAAAGGAAGCCAAAAGATACAGAGTAGGGATGCGAAGAATCAATCGACTTACAATTGTCAATTAATAGTTTATTAGATTAAAATGAGTTTAAATCGATTAATAATGTCCGTTTACGCCTTCTTTCAGTATTGTAGTTTGGCCGCCATGCAGCAGAGGGCGCCGCTGGTCATCCTTAAGCGGAGCCAGATACAGGAATAAAGATGGCGGAGCCACACCAGAACAAGAAAGGGTCCAACCGGATGGGATGCTAAACGCACTTCACGCGGTTCTGTTTTGAAATATAAACACTCGACAAGCCCCTTTATAGCGCTCATTTGGTTGTGCTGCATGTCAGCGCATTGTACTATGATGGAGAGAAAAAAACAAAACAAAAAAACAAATCTTTGCGCCAATTAAGCAGGTTTATTTTGCGGGCTGTCGTGAGTTAATGCAAGTCATCGAGCGAAGTTCTAACTTTCCTTCGAGAGCAACCACCGACGGTACTTCCGTATGAATATTATGTCATTTATTCTTTTCATCTTCTTCCGTTCAGCAACATAATAGTTTCATGTTTGGTTATATTTTATAAATATGTTTAATAATGTGAGGGGGAACAAAAACTTTGTCAATTCAGTTAGTATTTAATACAGCTGACAAAATAATTTAAAAATGCAGTTTTTTTTCTCTATTAAGCATATAATGAAAAATGTAGTCCTGCATGTTATAGAAAGACAGTTGGCCAAGAAGAAAACTTAGATTTTTAAGAAAATGGTCGCTTAACAGATAAGATAAATCAACTTTAGATCAACTCATTGATAACTTGCATCCCTTCTATAAAGTTTAAAGAATCAAACGCCAAAACCATGAACTTAGTCAAGCTAAAATATTTTTAAACAATATGTAGCTAACATTAAAATAAATGTAATTATAAGAGTCAATATTATCAAAGAACAAGCTTGAGTTCCTCCAGGTTGATGTGAATTCATCATTTAGCCACACAATTTTTTTTTAAAGTTTATTAGTGAGCATTAAGTATTTCAATAGAGTAAAATCCAACAATGTGAAATCTCTGGATTTTACATCTTCTTTGGAAATTCCACAGCTAACTTACCGCTTCCTCTCTCTCGAGAACTAACAGACTTGATGTTGTTGGTAGGCTGGCGTGGATCCAGAAAGGAAACATGGGCCTGAGAACCCACAGCATACACGGACCAGTCCTGTCCATATGCTAAACACACATTCTCTTTGCAGTGAGGCAGCTTGGTGGACAGTATCTACAGAGACGATGTGGAAAATGGCAAGAATTTCAAGTTAAATTTGATATAAAAAGCACATATTTTCAACAAAGCTATATTCTCATGCTCCACAAACGTAGAAAACTGTAGCAGAAAATAAAAGACACGTGCGATGTCAATCTACGTCCTGCATAGGTGAGCACATAGAAGCAAACAATAAATCACAGGACAGACCAAATTATTATTTAGTCATGTACCTTGCACAAATTATGCTCTGCTTTCCAGAGGTGAAAATAACCATCCAAGGACACGGCACCCAGCTCCTGCAAAAGGACAAAACCGAACAGGAAGTCAAGACATAAACCACTAAAATATGGGGCACCAGAAATGGGAAAAAAAAAGTTTCTGCTGTTTTTAAAATATCTTTTCGGTCTCTTTTTAATAGAATGAGAACTGACTGCGCCGAGTTTAACCACACAGAGAGGAAGGACGGATAAGAGGTAATTATTTATTAGTGAAAATGTGCAGTTCTCGGACAGTTTTCCATTTAAAAATAAGTTTTTAATCCCAAAAGAAAGCTTACATTTTCTCCAAAGAGCCATTATAGACAGGTCTATGGTTTATGTTATTTGTCAGATTAGATCTGATAAATTCTACATATAAAATGATAGCAAGATTAAAAAAAGTTGCAGTTTTAAAATGACCAAAAATGTCCATCATAGCTTCTCTGTGGATTAAAGTGCTTTTGATAACATGGAAAGTGACCAGCGATGTAAAGACCTTGGAGCGACGCACTGCTGTCTCTCCCCCGTCTGTTTCTGTGCAACATTAATCAGTTGGCCTGCTAACTCTTTTCAAGGTTAATCTAATTATGACACTACTGCTGAAGATTACAGTAGTTATTCAGATTATGATTACTCCACATTTTCCTGATTTCCTCATGTATTTTATTACTGTCCCAAACTTTGACAGTCTCAGCCCAAAAAAAAAATCATATGTTGTACGCAATGAGGGCAGCAAAAGTTTATCCAATAAGCAGAAAATATTACCTGCGTGGTGATTTTCCTTTAAAATCCTACATCATACAAAAATTGTAGCATAAAAAAATATGTTTTAATGTTTCTAGCTTAATTAACTAGATCACATTTTAAAGTGAATCCACACCATTTGTAACATGTAGTTGTTATACCAACTTGTGCCTAGTTTCATTAAAGCCTAACCAGTTAAAAATAATTTCATTCCAATAAAGTTTTCATTCAACAACCCTTAATGCAAATGTTTACAAAGTCCATTTAATCCATCCACTTACTTTCATCAACAGTTTTTTTATTATAATGTATGCAATAACTTAAGCTGTTTTATACAGTTACAGAAACAAGTACCAGGATTTATCTCTTAAAGATGAAAATTTATCTCAGCTGTGCTCAGAAACAGAAAAAGAAAAAAAACTGAAAAAAAGAGCCAAATTTAAGGGGATTCAAACTGCGCAGGATCCAGAGGCGTTCTTACTTTATGGGTGTTATTGAAGGCCAGAGCACGAACTTTACAGTTGTATGGGTTGGTATACTCCTTGGGAATGTCCTTCAGGGCACGGTGGGAGATGTGCGCGTAAGACGGTACCGTGTCGTCACTCGGACTCCTCTCAGACTGACCGATTACTTCCTCTGTGATCTCCCACAGACCCATGGAGCCGTCTCTGGACCCTGCAGATGAAAAGCCCACGCAGCGGATAAACAGCCAACCCAGTAACTAGGTAAAAGGTGAGGATTTTCCAAAACGGTCACAGAAATAATTGCTAAACACTTTGCGGGACAGCAGCTTGGTTTAGAGAGCGTCTACCTGCTGGTTTTACTGACTGCCCAGAGGTCACACAGTTCATGCTTACTCACCAGAAACAGCCATGATGTCACTGATCCACGCTATGGAGAAAATCCAGTCATTGTGACCGTCCTGGAAAACAAAATGGTTTTGGTGTGAAACGTCATAATATCCAAAAGAGTTCCGAAATACTTTTTAAAAAATTTTGTTTTTCCTAATTAACAACTCAAGGACCTTAAAATATGTGGATTTGGAAAAAAAAAATCCCAAGCACACTCACACTGTCTCACGAAACGCCGTAGAAAACACTTCATTTTCCACAGAATCCGAAACTCGTCTTTTGTATTTTCTCAATTTATCCTGTTTAGGGTTTGCACTCAGAATGGGCTGAACGGTTTTAAAAGACCTAATACTACCAAAATAAATTACTGAACTTTTAAGTGATAGAAAATTTTATTTCTCTCTATATCGAAATGCATCATCTAGCCTACTCCGCTTGAGACCTTCCCACTGTGCTGCAGCAAACCAGGAGTTACTGCACAGTGCTGCAGAATATTCCACTGTATTCGACACAATAGACGGGACAAGCTGCACACTTTTACCGCGGACTGCTTTGACCCCTTTAACTGACTGTGCTCTAGACAATATGGCACTTTGAGCGCTTTTGTGAGTGGGTTTTAGGTTGGAAAAAAAAAACAAAAAACATAGATCTCAGCAATGCCCACATGAAAACAACGGCTTTAACTATAACAAACACAATGAGAACTCCACTTTTTTTTTTGTGAAAACAAAAAACAGGATTTCTCTGACTTTTAAGATCATATATAGAGTATCTTATCAACTACAACCTTTATTGTATATTACTAGAATTTTTATATGAAACACTAATACAAAGTAGTGCAGCAAATCTACCAAAACACACCAATCAACCCAAACTACTAAGCTGGGAAATGAAAGCATTAATAAGAGTAGCAGCAAAGAGGCCCATAGAAACTATGGAGAAGCTGCAGAAATCCACAGCTCAGGTGGGAGAATCTGCTCGACAGTACAACTATTAGTCTTTTACTCCACATATGTGACTTTCATGGAAGATCAGTGAGAAAAAGCTACAAGAAGTCTTGTTTGCAAAACAATGAACACACCATCCCCTTGGTGATGCATGGTAGTAGCACTCTCACGTTCACCAAGGACAGAAAAGTTGATTAGAATTGATGGGAAGACAGACTACTGCTAAACACAGGCTGATCCTGGTGGAAGACTTGTTGGAGGCCACAGAAGCGAAAAAAAACAACCCTAACATACTGTCAGAGCTACAAAAGATGGTTTCAATCAAACTATATCCATGCGTTATTATGGCCTAGTCAAAGCCGAGGCCTAAATCCAAGAGAAAAAAATGTATGCTTACAGACACCATCCACTTTGACAAAATTTCAGCAGAAATACAGTCTAACAATGAAAAGTGGCCATGGTGAGTCCATGGCAAAAAAATCAAACCAACTAACCAACCAAACAAACAACAACAACAAAAAACAGATAAAATTAATTGTTTTTTTTCTTAATTTATGAATTTATGGGATAGGATTTCATACATTTTTTTTTTACTTCTTCGTACTCCTTTTCGAGCATGTTAACATGAAATGTTCGCCACTTTTGTGAATTACCTTCACTTGACTTTTGTTTTGAATTTCCTTTTATTAGTTAGCATAGTTTGAGTGTTGTTTGATTATAACAAATATGTGAGTCTTAGTGCTTTAGATCAAATTAACTAAACCAAAACAGAAATTGTAATTAAATTGACTTGTGAAAAAGGTATGAAAATTGTCTTTAGTAAATTCTCAGCTAACAACATCAAAACGATTTAGAAAAAAATTAAAAACATTTGAGTTTTGACTTTAAAAGAAGACCTGTCATATTTTTGTCAGGTTCTGGCCCGTTTGCAAGGCAGAAATAAATGTATTTAAGCTTCATAAATTATTTCATAAAACTGAGACACTGTTTCACTAATTATGCTTGCATGTCTGAACAACATATAAAAATTACAATACAAGAGTCACTTACATCTCCAACACAAACAGGGTCCAGTGTTGGCAGCTGGTAGATGGCTAAGCTATTGGGGTTATCTCCTCCAGTGGCAAGCAGAGTTTTTGAGGGGTTGAGTTCAATTGCATGTATGCCACAGCCCTGCTGGTCCAACCGGGCGTGAGAGACCCCTGTTGGGAGATATTGCCGCCCTGTCGTCATAGCACCCACTGTCCCAGAGCCTGTGTCACTACACTCCCTGTCCTTCAGCATTGGAATGCCTGTTATTTTCCCTGTCAGGACATCAACGACAAAAAGCTGCAAAGGAAGAACATGTAGCCGGTTAAGTCCAACATATGCACGAGGAACATCAAAATATAAAGACGGGGCGCCAAAAACTGGATCAGCTCACCGTGTTGCACTTGGTCCCACACACCACCTGCCTATGGTTGAGCCACTGCGAAGCAAACACCTTGTTCAGCCGTCCCAGAGAAAACTCCCTCTCCTTGAGGATCCCAGGGAGCCTGCCAGCCGCGAAGCCACGCAGGCTCCGTTGGAGCCGCAACTCATGCTGCTGCTGGGGCCTGAACTCCCGTCCACGGAGAGCGCACACAACGGAGCGACGACTGCCGCACCACTGCTGAGCATGCCGCGACGAACAAGAAATACGGATCCGCTTCTGTGGCGCTTGACACCAGCCCAGCTGTGGAAGAAGGCAGAGGGAAAGGTTTGAGTATCTTGTAAGAGTTTTAATTACGTCGAGCGAGAAAAGGTCACCCTGTATTCTCAGCAGTAATAAAGTCGCTAAGAAATATTTATTTCTGCTAAGAGTCAAAACTGATGGAGCATAACTAAACAGTTCAAACTGTAAAAAGAAATGATAGAAAGACATTCTTAGTGTTTGACTCATCTAAAATTAAAACATATTAAAAGTAAAAAAAAAAACTCACGGGTGCAAAACAGCGACCAGTTTAAACGATACAGTACTCATACCTGTTGTGATGTAATCACAAACAGTTTATGGCTGGGACTGATGTGATAGATCAAAGCTAAGTAATTTGTAATGATGAAAAAGAAAATCATTCATGGTTTCAAATGTTTTTACAAATGAGACCTGCATTTTATTGATGTCAATGCTTTGTAGAACCATTGACATGGAGTGGTTGGAATATGTCTGCATCTGCTTTTTACATGCAAATTATGGGACTTGTTATGGCGTCCTGTTGCCCCTTTATTTAGGGGTGTCAGAGTAAAGAGGACTCTAATGTAATCCTTTACAGATTTTGCTTAGAAAAAGAATGTACAAAAAGTAAAAAAAAAAAATATTCTGCCATTTCATAATGATGAACTATTCTGTGTTGGTCTATATCACATATAATTAAAAAGTCATACATTCGAGTTTGTGATTACAAACATGAAAAATGACAAAGGAGCATGTATACTTTTGCAAGGCACATTATCGAACAAAGGTTTACTTTGACTAATTGCTCGCAAATTACTACTACAAATAATGTGTATTTTATCCCCAAGTGACCCATTTTTATGAATGTACACTAATTCCGATGACAACCATAAGCCAACACACTCTAGCACATATGACGTATCAGCTAATGCTGACGTTGGTAAAATGCTATTCAATTAGATTCCAAATGCAAATCTCGTTTCCAGTCGAAATCAATTCAGTTATTGTTGGTAATGAAAAGCTGATTTGACACGCCAAGTCAAGCTAAGAGATGTCACTTTTAAAAGAGCACCTGTGACCATGTAATTGCAAAATAATAACAGCTGAACGTCAGCCTTCACCGGAGCTGAGCAACCACTGAGCTAACGTTAGCTCTTGTATTGTAACGGACTGCCGTTGGCGAACGTCGAGCTAACATTAGCGAATGCTGACCCTCAAATGGAAACATGTAGAGTTCTTATTTTAAAAAGTCTCTTGTGTGTGCGTTCTGGCTCATTATGCATCCGTGTAGAGCGGTAGTTAATCTGTAAGCTACGGCACGGATGCTAATAATGCTCCTGTCAGCTAACACTGGCTAGCACGTAGTTAGTTAGCATGCTAACACAACCGGTTTCCGCCTACCTGTTGTTGGTCCTTCGGCTCTCCTGCCTTCCTTTTCCTGCTAACTGTTTTTCTCGCCATAATCTGACACACACAGTTCCTTCACCCACATGGAGGGTACAAGTAACACTGGATACTGGGTCATATAATGGCGATATGCTATTTTGTTCCTTGGCCCTCGCTGGCAGTGCCCGACGATGAGGTAGGGCGATCACATAAGGGTAAGGTTGGTCAGAGCGAAGCTAAGATTAAGGTAAATGTGCAGCTCCGCCTCCTGAATAATATGACCGTAAGGCCGCAGAAACTATCCCGTTTCCACTCAGTTTTCTCCTGCCAAGCTGTGTGCGAAGCGGCGACAACGGCGAAAGCGTTGGGCAGTGCGCAGCCGCACTCAAATTAAACATCAACAACAACAAGGTCGTACGGAACCGAGAGCGTAATACGTACTCACTGACGTCACTGGCGTTCCGGAGACGCTTTTTCTGTTTATCTGTTAAAAAGATACAGACAGACACACTCATATTAGCTTGACAAGTATTTTTGAATTCAATATAATTTAATTAGCAGTCAGCTGATTCCAAGAATGGAAAGCTTTGCAAAATCTGGCCAAGCTTTTCTGCGTTAATAATACGATCAATCTTCTGACGTCATTAAATACTTTCATTCAAAATATATCAAGTTTGAATTCATAACTATTTCGATGTAATCTGGATGCAGTTCTGTTTAGCTCCCAGCCTTAAATGTGGTTTCTTGACAGTTATACCCCTAGCAGATTCAGATTTGAAGTAAGCTTTTGATTTCATAATATTTTATATTATTTTGACTTGAAACCATTTTTACATCATTTAGTGGCTCAGCCAGAGTCTTGACCGAATTGACAACCAATGGGAGGAGCTGCAGATTAGGGTGATGGCCTTCCAAAGTAAAAAAAAAATTGGAGTTAATCTCTAAAGCTAAATTGTCATTATAGATGTGGAAGCATGCATACAAGTTGCCAAACAATTGTAAAAATGGGTTGACTCTTGTGATGAAAATAAAACCTCCCTTTTTTCTTTACACAATGATTCTTCTTGTACATTGTTTTTTATGTTTTGTGATATCTAATGTCTCATCCAAATCTACCAGAGTTATGAATATTTATTATTTTTAGGAGTAGCATAATTATTTGTTGTGTGCCACAGGGCAGGAAAATCGCTCAGAGAAGCAAAACTGTGTTTTGTACCTGTGATGTTTTTTCTGAATTTAGCAGGTGAAATCCGAATTTTTATTTTGTATTGAAAACTGGTAGTGTTGACAGATCCTACTGAATATAGGATTTTGCAAAGCCGTATTTGAATTTTCTGGTTGTCTTCTTTATTTTATTTGAGTGTTTTATCTAAATGCGTTCAGTTACCTAACTGGCTCTGACCACTTATTCTCTATCTATGATGTAATTTCCCACTCAAGGTGTCCATCTGTTCTGTTATGTCAGCACTGTTCCACCGAAGAAGGTCATCATAATAAAAGCCAGTTCCCAAGCAGAGTTGAGCAGAGCTCACCAATCTTTGATCCCGAGCAGGTTAGAGGTTGTGGATCTCTCCCTTTGCAAAGGAAGGCATAAAAACCTCATTGGTCTTGTGTCTGTTTTTTTTTTGTTTGTTTTTTTTTTACAAGTCTTGAGCTAATTTTAAAAACCCCAACAGTGTGACTCAACAAACTTTTTGTGTCCATGTCTCAAAACATCCTACCTCTGAAAATGCAGCCACCATCCATAGAATAACTTTTTACATCTAAAGATGAAAGCAACCTCTCCTTCGTTGAAAGCTAAATATGAAAAAGTCAAGATGACCCAAGACTTACAGTATGTTCAAAACTGCATTGTTTAAGATCGTGCTTTATGAGAACCAAATGTGGCCTCCAGTATAATGTTAAAACAAGAACATCACAAATGTCTTGAAAATAATTTCTTATAACAGCAAGTCAGTTGGACTGAAACAATTTTTTATAGGACTGTACCTATTTTCATGAACAGGTATCTCTGATTTTTAGTTGCAGGCAGGTTGCATGGGCCCCTCTGCTACTGCATGCTGCTCTTCTTTATATTTTTTCTGCTGACCAACAGGCCACAGTTGGATTTTTCCAGTTATTGTAGACAAGAACTTGAAACAATCAACTGTATTGTTGTCTCTTCAGCTGAACTTTTAAAAAGAGACACAAAGCCAGGAGAAGGATTTGTTGCTCTTTGATAGGTTCATCTCTCACATTTAAATACTTGGGATAAAACACGAAGCTGGGCTAAAAAAACAAACAGACAAACACAATACTGAAAAGATGAGCGTGTTTAATTGGTTGTATTTTCTAAATAATTTCACAGAAAATTAAACATTTTGTCGAAACACATCAATTAATTTGGAAAACGACACTGAGCTCACCAAGCTCAACTTTACCATTAACATTTCTCAGATCTGATTAGATTTGCTTTGTGGTAATGTGGAAACTGACTTTTTTTTTTTTTTTACACAAATATTTTTCCCCAAAACCTGTAATCCAAATAAAACTTAAAAAAAAAAAATTAGAACACAAACAGCCAAAGGTGCACAGTTTTAATTAATATCTGTGGATAACAAAAATCTATCAAGTCAAGTGTGAAGACAGTAATACCACTTATGTGTTTTCTTTTTTTTAATCATAGAAACATAAAAAAAGGAAGAAGCAGCTGTCAGTCATGTCAAACCTATTTAACTTAAAGTGCTTCCTATAAGAATTCAAGTGAATTATTACGACATGGAAATTCCAACTCTGTAAATACTTATGAGTCAGGGAGCGATCCATGTGTTCTAAAAAGTCTCAGTCATGTAGTCTGAAAGGTATTTTAGACTCAACAAATATGTTGTTATATCCCAAAAGTATGATTATAAACATAATTTCATTGGTTTTAGTGTCTGGATAAGACATGGGCCAGTCATGTGTATCAAGATATGCTTGATACACAACAACCGTAACATTTTTCATTAGTTCTTTTAATGAGAAGCCAGAGTGACTGTCGGCAGTTGTATTGGTAAAGTAACAGTGCTGTAAATAAGCACTTATGTTTATTCTTTATTTCTCTAAGTTTACAGTGCTGAGAAAAATTATTAGCCCTTACAGATTATTCCAGGTTTTTTTGTTTTTACATTTAAATGTTCCAGATCATCAAATTCTAACACAGGACAAACATAACCTTAGTAAATGCAAAATACGCTTTTTAAGTGAATAAAAGTTATCAAAATAACCTGATCCTAAAGTGAAAAATTAATAGCCCCCTTTATAGTTTGTTGTATCGCTGTTGTATCACCGCTTACTGCAAATGTTAAGTTTTTGGGGTAACTTGAAGTGAGTCTTCCATTGAAATGGAGGAATTTTGGCCCAATCTCCTTTGCAGAACCATTTTAATTCTGCCTCGTTGGTGAAGTTTTGATGCCATGCCCTCGGTTTAAATCCAAACTTCACTCCAAAATCTTTTTTTTTTTTTTTAAGTTATTGCTGTGCTTTGGATAACTGATCCAAGTGCGCTTGGGCCCAAGGTCACAAGCTAATGGTTGGACATTCTCTTACAGGATTTCCAGATAGAGGGCAAAATGAATGGTTTCATCAAGCGCAACATTTCCAGCTACTTAAACCACCGTACACCACTCCATTATATTTGACTGTGGGTATAATTTTCTTTCTCTGGATGCCATTAGCTTGACACACTTATAGGTTTACAGAACATTTCCCTATAACTCTTGGATCTCATCAGTGTTTATAGTGCCAAATGAAAGACGGCCTTCAGGATCTTTTTGGTCAGCAGTGGCTCAGGCACTGGCACCTTCTCACTGATATCACTATGGACAGCTTCTTCAAATCTATCAAAATTGGTGTCAAACATTTGTGCTATGTTTGTGCTGGTGGGCTCTAGAAACCTTTTTTGTATTAATATCTTTACTATAACAGCAGTACAAATTAATATTTTTACTGCACAAACATTTGACACCAAATTTTGTTAGATTTGAAGGTGAGGGAGCCAACTTCACTCAGGTCTTTCCTACTGCTTAAATCAAGAACACTGACTTTAACTGATGGAAATGGGGACCATAGTGCATTAGATGTCTTTTTTTTTTTTTTGCAACTTCCTGGATGACTCATCAACTTGCTATTTGAATTATTTTAGTAGGCATGTCTCTAATGGGACGGTTCACGACCCACTGTTGCATGTTTTAATATTGGTTCTCACCTTTGGTCCAAACAGCTTTTTAACCCTTTCCAGATGTCATGATACAGATATCGTTTTCTCATTTGCTCTATGATTTCTTCAGATGAGAGCATGATGTGCTGTTTTAGCCTACTTCATGTTGCCCGACAGGTTCTATTTAAGTAATTCAATGATTAAGTCTGGCAGCAGTTGGGCCTAGGTGTGGCAGATGAAACTAGGACCGAAAAGAAAAGGTTAACAATGGTCAAATCATTATTTAACAATAGGGGCAGGTTGAAAAATTGTGTCTAATGAGAACTGCATTTTGTAACTAATCGCCTTATAATTTTGGCCAATTATTTTGTTACTTTTCAGTGTGTGTCAATATAAAATGTTTTAGATTACAATTGTAAAAAAAAACAAAACAAAATCTGTTGGATTATTTTAGCAACACGAATAACTATTGCTCATCTTTTTTTTTTTGAATAAAAGCAATTAGATTGTTGTACACATTTACTACATTTCTTGACAGGGAACAATGGTAGTATCTTTTTTTTTTTTTTTTTTTTTTTTTAAAGATTATCACAATCTCAAACCGGCCCATGCCTTGTGTAGAAAGAGGGCTTGCCTTTGAAAAAAAAAAAAAAAAATTTAACCCGGCGTAGGTAAGGGGCAAAAAAAAAAAAAAAAAAAGTACACGGGGGTTGGGGGAGGAAATCAAGAGTCTAACCTCAGGCTTGATTAAATTTTGTCATATTAAATTCAGTGACAGAAAACAAATGATAGAAATCAATACAACAGAAACTTTCATCCACATTTCCAGTAAGGCTTTAAAGACCATTCCTTTTAACATTTTTGGAGGCTCAAAGTGCAAGTCAACAGTCATACAACATGAAATGCGTCTATTGCACTGTAATTTGGCTGCAGAAAAACAAACAACCCTCGCTTATATTATTTTTTTTTTTTGTTGCCCCTCACTCTTTCAGTCTGCAAACAGATGCTCAGGACAGTTCTACAGCGTTGCATTTGTACGTCAACATATCTTACATAATCAAGCTGAACTCCAAATAAATCTTAAATCAAAGTGTCAGTGTACTATTTTAAATAAGATCTGAACAAATGAAACACATGTGCGCCTGTGCGTTGTATGATCAGTGACATTGGGGCAAGAGATATATTGTATTTCTTTTAGGGGGAAAAGTTTTCCCACTGTTTCTTTCCAGTGCAGGCGGAAGAGTGCAACAGGGCACACTTTCATTTTCAGAGTTTTCATGACTAATGATCTATAATGCAATTCCTAAAACAGAAAGCAAATAAATGCAACCTTTAAACAGACAAAATGATGTCCAAAATGAACAGAAAAAAAATAAGACATGAATGTAAGAAAAGCATAAAGAAGAACAGAAATAGGTCCTGGGCACTACAGCTCAGAGGGCACTTCTTGAGAGTCAGCTCTGTTCTGTGATTGTGCCTTTCACTGTAAGCTGGTTCAATTAGAAAAGAGGGTCTTCTCTCGACCTCTCCGCTCCCATCACCATTTTAAAGTCTGCAGCGAGCAGTGGAACATGGCAGCTGTCTTATCAAAGAGTTTAAGTTCCCACAGGTCTTCCCGTGAGGCGCACACAGCCTACCGCTAGCTCCTCCCCCGTTTAATTGTGCAGTTTCTCCTGCATTCATTGAAAGACTTCCAAGAGGAAGCAAATTAGAGTGGCGTCGAGGCGCCACAGCCCACATTTCCCAGCATCAGTCATTTACTCCAATAACACAGCAGTACCTGAAATGAGCATTTAGTATTGGTACATGTTAACTCAGTCCAATCTAGGCACACAAACTTTCAGATGTGCTGAGGCATGGTATGTTTTAGCACAGACAGAAATCGCCTCCCGGGTGTCCTTTCCACAGCCAAGGCAAAAAGGGCGGGGCGTAGTGAGATAAGGTAGGCAGAGGGAAAGGGGCTTCAGGGTGGGAGCAGAGACAGATGCCTGGGTTAGAGCTTTGGCTTCCCCGCCGGCTGGGCTCAGCTCGCAGCGGCGCGGGCCATCAGATCCTCCAGAGCCTTGTCCTGATCGTTGTTGTGGACTAGCAGAACCTCCTTGATCGCGTCTCTCTCGAACCCCATTTCACCAAATCTGGACATGAGTTCAAGATACTGCAAGGCCTGGAAACAAACGATGAAAAGTAAATGATTAAACAGTGTAATCTGGGATGAAATCGTTATTAAAGAGGACAAGCGAGTGTATTCCTTTCTCTTAAGATCAAGAGAAAAGTACAAACCTTTTCTTCTGAGCACTGGTACATTTCTAAGCACTCTTCCACAGCGCTGGCATCAAAGCCTCTCTCGCACAGACGACCATGAAGAAACAGATAGTCCAATACCTTGGACAGAAGACAGATGAAGGTCAGCCATTGTTTCTACTAACTTCCCTTTTGTAGAAGCAATAAAAACCTACTTCCTCTTTAACATACACTTCATTTAGTTTGTCTAAATGGGAGCATTGAAGTAAAATGTCATATTAGAAGGTCTTAAAAATTCTATTTGTGCAAAAAAGTTAGAGGCATGGTGGCATTTCTAAACTATTTTTTTTTAAAGTTGATCAATCTCTGGGAACTTAAGATTGTTTATCCATAGTTTCCTGCTTTTCTAGGCTCTCAATGACATGATGCATACATGCAATGCTCTTAAAGTTGGGAAAGAGAGGAGAACATGTATCTCCAGTGTAGCTGAGTTCATGCTATTCCAATTATTGGAGGTCTTGGAAAAGATGTTCTGGTTGGAAGAATTGGAAGAGAATCTCTACATCCCGACTTGAATTATTGCACTGTGGCCAACAGACGATTAAGTAGCGCGTGACCAAAGACAACCAACCACAGATATCAAGCAGCAACAGAAATGTTCTGGAATAATTGTGCAATGGAATTTCTCTCAAAACAGACAAGTATTTCTTCTCTTTCTTTCTAGTAAGCAACTGCTTTCCGCTCATCTCAACCTTGAGCCCCCTTTTTCCTCTCCCTTTTGTGCAACTACTAAAATAAACATCAACACCTGTAACTTGCATTTATTATTGAACCAATAGAGAACTGGCCACACCAGCAAATCTTGGCTCTTCCACAGCACAATGTAACAGGAGCTACAACCAAGAATTGATAATATCTAGCTTGCATAGTGTTAAAGTGTAGTGAGATACACTACACTTTCCATGCTAAATGGAAAGAGCTGCTTGCCTAAAACTTACCCTTACACAAGTCAGAGCAACAATTAAAATGTTTAAAATAAATAGAAATGTGACAAGGATGGAGATTCTTTAGTGTCTGCACAGTAGCCTAAGACCAGATGATCCCAGTAGTTTACCCTTTCTGCACAGCAATGTCATTTAACTGTCATATTTTTAGTCATTTGTGAGTTAGGAGCCTCCGTTTTGTATTAATGTTCAGCCATTCAAAGTAAGATATTTAATTGGCTGCATGTAGATACACATTCAATGTTTTGGTAACTAACCTGCTCCACATTCTGGCCCTGTCTCTGCATGGCCCGTAAAACTTCCTCATAAGAGTAACCCATTCCCACAAGCGTCTCCACACACTGACGTTCGCTGGGCGTCATGCTGAGGAGAGCTCCACCGCACGGCAGACCAGTAGATCCTGTTCCAGGGTTGGCCTAGTTAAAGGACGAAAACAGAGTGAATATCGAAGGGTTGCTTGAACCTCAAGCAGACGTGCAGAGTGCTCTTTAACACTCACCGGCTTTGGCGTTCCACTCTTGTTGTGGTTGGATGGCTCGGGGGCGACAATGACTTGTGTTTTTGGTAATGCTGGCGGGCTGCTGTTGGTTAGGTTCCGTCGGGGAGAAGGAACGGGAACAGGACTGTACTTTACCGACTCCGGTTCACCAGAATCGGAGAGTTTGGGGAATGTCAGAGAGCGGATGTTACAAGGCCGATCGTCCGTGTCAAAGCCCGCTCTTCCAGGATGTCCCACTTTGTCCATATCCAGCAAGGCAACCAAGCCGTTCGGCTTGTGAGTGAAGCCTGGCTTAGAGGAGATGCTGGTGTTGGTGCTGGGCGGAGATGGGCTGTCTCCACGAGATACTGAACCTTGCTGAGGTGGAGACACAGAGGGCGGAGGCTGAGGTTGGCTCTGCAGAATGTTCCTCAGCTCTTCCTTATCATCCAGGGTTTTCAGTTCCAGCTTGTCGAACGGGTCTTCCTCCCGCTCAAAGTCGGCTAGGTTGAGGTTTTGTGGCTGTGGAGTGCTGTCCTGGGATTTTCTGGGGCCGAGTCTGGGGGCCGGCAGTGGAGTGAGGATGGCGTTGTGACTGAGTCCAGCAAGGACCGGGTTCAGGGCTGGCGGCAGAAGGTCCTGGTCCTCTACCGCGGAGCGAAGGTTGTTCCCCCCACCTCCGTCAGCATCCCGAGACAGAGACTCCATGCTCTCAGCCTCCTGCTTGGCTGCTGCCTCCTCCGCTCTGGCTGCTGCTGCTCTGGCGTCAGCAAGTTCTATCCCCCAGCGAACACTTCGCCTCTCCAATGTAAAGTCATACTGTTCAGAAGAGAAAAGGAAGGAGAAGGAAGATGGAAAAGTAATTACATCAGTCACGATAGCCATATAGCGTTAAAATTCCAGTTACAGGAACATTTTTTGTGGTTGGCTACCCCTTAAATATTTACTTACTTATAATGACCAACTATGCATTAGCAATTTAAGATCTATTATGTATTAGTGTTAACTTAATTTGGAAGTTTCTTGAGATCAGAAAAATACAGAAACAATCATGGAATGAGTATAGGCATGAACAGAGAGGCAACACTTCATCACTGTAGAAAAAAACAAATTCATTACATTTATAAAACAACAACAAAACTAATGGTAGAATTGAATGTATTAAAATCCTCTTTCTCAATCATCATTTTACACAGGTCATCCAACATGTAACTGAAAAATAGACAAAAAAAATCTCTATGTCCTCTGTACCTTTGTGTCTGCAAGTACAGCTCCATAATCTGGCATAAGGAAACCAACGGGTAACCCCACTTTAGCTGGACGCCGGAATTTGTCGTTTATTTTGAAGGGAACATCATCAAGGTAGCTGATGGGTCCTGTACAGAGACAAAAAGGAGACTGTCAAGGTTGCACAAAATATTGCAAATATATCATCATCACTATATACGTGTGTGCAATAGTGTCATGAACTTGCATTTTTCATGCTAATGTAATAGTTAGCCAGAACAGAGTCCAAGATGACATTACCACAAAACGTTAAAGGTCAGAGTGATGGAAGCACAGATGAGAAAGAGAGGACAGAAGATAAAAGGCATAAATTGCACGTGATATTGTTATTGCAATATATATATAAATATTATCGTCACTGTAAGATTTTCTGTAGTGCAGCCCTAAATACTGAAAGCATAGACATAGACACCCTAAAGTAGGACCTTAAAGTAAAAATGTATTGAGAAATCGACCCGTCAGAAATTCAAACCTTTTTCTGATCAGCGAGCACATCCTAGCTAAAACAAACAAGTCGCCTTACAACACTCTGTGGTGGGGAAGTTGCAACTGAGAATAGAAAACAGTACAGAATAGAATATCCTTTATTCTTCCTCAATGAAGCGACAGTCACTTATCTCTGTGAGTAACAGCAGTGAAGAGACAGGCAAATGAAAGCACACAGATTTAAGCAGAGATCAAAAAAGGCCTGCAAATACATGAACATATAGTCCATTAATCCTTATTTAATTCCTGTTAATGTTTGTCTATTTACAGTAAATGTTTGCACATGTGAGCGCTTATAAACCGAAGTCAAGTTCCTTGTTTGTGAACACAATCTTGGCCACTAAAGCTACACTGATTGTTTAAAAGTATAGAAGCAAAACATACAGATGTGAAGCTTAACAGTAAGAGTAAATTTATAGCATGTGAAAAAAATACTGTACAGTTAAAATAGCATACTCTGATTAAACAAAAAAAATAGATTCAGCTAACTTTGTAAAGAAGCTATTTAAATGAAAGCTTTACAAAAACTGATGAACTTGAAGCATCTGTGTTACACATTATTTAACCCTCTGAGCTGGCAGAAAATAAAAGAATCAAAAATAAGGTCTTACCATTGTTATACACGTCTGATCCAGACTTCCTCGCAGCCATTTAGTCCCTGAAAAAAAAAAAGAAAAAAAGTGCATGAGTTCAATGTTTTGAGGGAGGTTGTAGTTTAAAATAAAGCAAGAAAACTTTAACTGAATGAATTTAAAGTTCATTGTGAACTTTAAATTCTTTAAACACACTGTGTGTGTTTAAAGAATGACACAAACTTAATTAACTAGAATAAGATACTAAGATAACAATGCTTTATTTATTTATTGGGTTTAAATGTTTAAATGACTGTGCCTTTATCAGGTTCAAAAAACTACTTAAATTTAACCAAAAATGTGTAAAGCCACAAACCACACATTCCAAATTATTACTGTGCATAAAATAAATACGAAGTGAACATGGAAAAGTTTCAGAGACTATACTGCATACATCGCCCCCCAAAAATAGGCCTTTCCTGGTTAATACAGATTTTTGTTTTTCTTTAAAGTTTGATTTTTATCAAAGTCAAAAATCAGCTTCAAAGCTTCAAATTCTGATTAATCCTTTTCTGGTTTAAAAAATGGGATTAGTCCTTAGTTTGGAAAGACCGTCCAGCCCCAAAGATTGACAGGATTTCATTGATCAGAACTGACCAGAACTCCCCCTACCCATCCAAAACAGATACTTAACAAAAAGTAGTTTAAATCTGAAATCAATTCCATTGTTTTGTCACATAGCAACAGAGCCTGACTGCAACGAAAACAAGAAACTCCGGAACAAATCTGTCACCGCACAGAACTTTGAACCGATGAGATAAAGTAAACAAAAACAAATTAATGACGTAGTACTAATCACAGATATGAAGTATGCATTTGCTAGCAAAAACTGTAACTTTAAACGAACCCCAAAGCAAATTTTACTTTGGTGTGTTTGCTGTGCATAGATGTCAATCCGCCATTGATCACTCATGACCCGCTGGATCTTGTGATCAAGGCAGCGCCGTGTCTATGTCGGATTTCTTATGTATTAACTTCAAGCATGAAGTCCTTAACATAGTAGTCACCCTACAGTTAGTTGCTAATAGTACTTGGGGATAAAGTTATATAACACCATACCTTCACAAGTTGCTGTTCCGCATTGCTATTCTAAAACTTAGCATGTCACGGAAACACAGGGTACGTTGATATATTTCAGAGATAAGTGATAACTGTAAAGATAGGTTAGCTAACTTAAACGACAGGAATCCGAGTAAATTAATTCCCTATATCCTAATGCAAACGTGACTAAAACTGGGTCATTGTAGGCCATCAAGTGTCAAATACAGCTTATAATGTGCTCTGTCAGACAGTTAAGTTTTACATATTTGAATACATTTGGATACCTTTAGCCACAGCTAGAATAACATGTACTTATAGAATAACGCGCTGGCCGCTATCAAAATGCTTAAGTTTCAAAACTCGACGTAGCTTATTTTAGTTGGCATTTGGTAAAAGAAAAGGCACACTGAAAGTACACACTGCCAAACACAACCAGAGAGAGTGATTTGGTCCTCAGCGTACCCACTGTACATGCTAATATGCTTAGCTTCGGCTGTGGCCTGACTTGTAACGTTACGTGCTGCCACCGCCCCTCACACAGCTAAACAACTGGCCCGCAAATTAAAAACAGAGCTTTCTTACCGGTATTGACTCCGTCTCTTCCTTACGAAATCCAAACGACGCCCAATCACGTTGGCACTACGTTAAAAACTGCTTTAAGAATCAGTTTTATTTCAAGTAGAACCTCTTTCCTGCTTCGCCGTAGGTCGCCATCTTGGTTTGTCAAGCTCCCTCTACTGGTTCCTGTATGATGTCACTCACCTCCACGACGTCAGACTGAGATAACGCAATGGTTCATAAACCAGCTGAACAAGGACAGTAACTTACGTTTTATTACATAGAAGTGCATCTTAACTTACATTATGATTGGAAAATGTATTTATTTCATTAATTCAATTGGATTTAATTCATTTGAAACTCATAAGCTGTGAATTCATTATACAGAGTGACATACTGAGCGTATTTCAAGAATTGTTTTTCACAATTATATCAGAAACTCAATTAAAAGCCAAAAACCCGGAGCAATCCAATAATTCGCTATACTTTAATTATATTTGATCATTTGTACAATAAATATTTTGGTTCTGATGATAAGTGTACTGAAGTTTTTAGGATGTAACTAAAAACACATTTTTAAAGATTATTCTAAAATTTCTTCTAATGTAACACATTCAACGTACAAAAAATGTACAGCATTTTTTTGGATTTCTGTATAATCCGAAAAAGTGCTAATTTAAGGGTTTGAAATCAATCGTGATACTCAGGGTAGCGCAAATGTAAAATACTTTATTTAGCATCACCTGGATATTCTATTCACCTTTTCAAACTTTTAGATTGTGTCCATTATTTATTTAAAACTAATACAAATTTTATAGCTATAAAATCCTGAAAACATGTTTTTCAAAAATAAATACAACCTAGTTTAAAGATAAAAAACAGCTTTATGATTAAAAAATTGTCAACTCTTGTTTTCAGTTTTATGACGATAAATCTTCTTCTTCTTCTTCTTCTTATTATTATTATTATTATTATTATTATTATTATTATACAAAAAATAAGTGCTTTCTGAAACTGTTGATGAAATTTGGAACAAGGTGTTTTTTTTTCTACTTTGGGTGCGCGCACGTCACTGTGTACGCGCATTACGTTCTGCAGACACGCGCAATGATAGCCGGAAGCATCGATGGGAGGAAAATAAAAATCGATAAAAGCCAGTGTAATTCGCGAGTGTAAAAAAAAATTCTCCTACTTGCTGTCCTTTCTCTGACCACAGGCTCGAGTTCCTGCGTGTTTTTATCTCACCGCCGTGCCGGAGGGGACGACAGACGGCAGAAAACCCTTTCCGTTTGTGCGAAGTTGCTCGGTGGGGGTTTATAGCTGACGTGTGGAGAAGTTGAGACTGCTGGAGCGGAGATAAACAAACATAAACAAGCAGGGGTCAGTTGAGAGCCTGTTCGAACCGAACCAGTAGCTCGGGGAGATGGCAGGGACAGCCAAACCCCGGTTTTGAGCCCGGGAATGATCCGCAGGAGACGGTGACTTCCACTGAGACTTGCTTCTTCATGTCAACTGTCAACACTGGCAACACAAAAGAATTTGGAAAACACGAGGAGCAGCCACAGGCTTTAGGAGGAAATCCACTGCTCCACTTACTGTTGTCCACACACAGCGACGTTAGCATGGCCGGCCAATGAGTTCACCTTTCAGGTTTCAGCTGGGAGCAAACAAAAACGTATAGTTCAAGGAGGCAGAGGTAAACACTTTTTGTTTTTTTTAAAACTTTGCAGTTCTACCTTTAAGGGCCTCAGAAGAAACCTAGCTTGACAGGCCACATAGCATGTTTGTATTTTAATTCTTGATGTAGCATTTTGGTTTGTCTGTCTGTTTACACCAAGTTAAAAAAAGACAGACTCCAAGCTGTTGACTCAGTTTGTTACCTTCAAATAGAACCGTCCGTCTCATGATCTCTCTGTCTCCTCTCTAGGTTTGCTGATCTGTGGCCCCTGGGTGTCACAAGTGGAATGAACATGGCCCACCAGGCAACCCCTAGTTCTCAGAAGGCCCTGATGATGGAGCTGAAGTCCCTGCAGGAGCAGCCGGTGGAGGGCTTCCGCATCACCCTGGTAGAGGAGTCTGACCTCTACAACTGGGAAGTGGCCATCTTCGGACCGCCCAATACTCTGTATGAAGGAGGCTACTTCAAGGTGGGAGAAATCTGCACAAATGGTCACTTTGCACTCATTATCGCAAAGAGCTGCTTGCATGCAGCATTTGCAAGGTTGTGATATTACTATGTAATGGTAATGATGCCATATTGTTACCATATTATCATGCTGAAGGGCACAGAAGCGTTGGGAACATCTTGATGATAAAAGTGAAAAGAGGAAAAGTTTGGTTTATCGCAAACAATATTGCCCTTCCAATGTTTAACAAAAACAGAATTGCAAGTATTTCTCAAATTGTCCAAAATATGTATTCAGAAATATGAAAAGTTTTGCATGATTACCTGAAATGACTTTTACGTTAAAGAAGATAATGGTTACGTTAGACCTCAGTTTCTTTGCTTTTCTTTTTCTCTTCTATCATCTCGATGTCCTTAAAACTTTGAGCTTAGCATCTTGATGGCAATAAAACACATTTGCATGCTGAGCGCGAATGCAAGGCTCCTAAAATACATTCGTCCATCTAATCCAAGTTAATTTTGCAATGACCATTTGAATGTATTTGTTCAAACCCAAAGAGTCCCACCATCCTAGAGATCTAAAAAGTATAATTCACATCTTCATGCTTCTTCTGACCTCTTCTGCAAGTCGATTTTTTTTTTTTTTCAGTCATTAATTCTGGCTCCATTCTCAGTCTCCACTCCTCATCACTGTACGGTGGTTGTAATTCAGAAAGCTATTTTTAGCTTGGTGACCGCTATAAATGGCACTTCAGCACAGAGAACGAGTAGGAGAGAAGGGCTAGATTAGATTCCCCATCTGTCTTTTTCTCAAAAAAAAAAAAAAAGACATGAAAGACAGAAGATGCAGGTCAGACACGGGTTTGTGTGTGGTTGTGTTCACACAGGTGTAGCTGGAGTTTACAACGGGTGTACAAAATAGGTCAAATAATTAGTTGGGTTTTTTTTTTTGCCCTGTCTTTTTTAAACTTCGTACAATACTTCCTCATCCTCATGCGTATCTCACTTGCTGATAAAAATAAGAGAAGCATTAGAAAAAGGCTGAGGATCCAGATTTATAGATGCTAAAGATGGATGCTGTGGTTGAAAGTAAATATCTCAGTAAGTAGAAGCACTGTTTGTTAGGCTAGCAAATATATTTACTTGCTATTTAGAGTTTTCATGGCATGAATCAGTGTAATGTTCTATAATAGCAAATATCAATAACCTCGAGTCAAAATACCTCAATTTTAACATTTTCCGGCACAGATTAATCTTTGTTTAAACAAAGAGTTTAAACAAATTTAAATTGGTTTTCCTTTGGGATCAGTAAGGTGTTTTTGATATGAATTGAAAATGTATAACTTGATTTAATTTAATGCTTGAACTCAGGGCACTCGAGCTCTTTGTCTGGAATCTCATTTATGGATGTGTAAGCGTAGGAACGATACGATGGAAAATCTTAGGGATTTTCTGACCATAACTAGATTAAACCTTGATGTTTGTTGATGCAGGCCACTTGCTCAGCTTTGTTTACATCTTTTGTGGTTGGATGACCCCTTCACACATAAAAATATGTGGAACCTTAGAAAAGGAAATGGCAAGCCATTCACGTGTCAACAAAGGTGTAATTCTTTTACTGTTTGAGGTAAATAAATGTGATTCAGAGTTCCTGATTACCTGACCTGGTATTTCCTGATCTCTTAAATTGAAACATGACTAACGTGTCTCTGCAGAATGTGATGACAGGCTGTTGAGGTAATGTGCTGGAACAGGGAAACATCTAAAACATGCAGGGCAATGTACCCCCAAGATCAAGGTTAGGAAACACTGATCCTACCTGCATATTTATTTTATTTATTTATTTTTTAATTGACATCTTTATTTAACTGACACAAGTAAAACCATCCCCCCCCCCTCATTAATGTCCTTCTTCTGGCAGTTCTTGTACAATCAAAGGTTTAATCAAGTTATTATTTTTATTTTTTTTTGTCAGATATGTACTTAGTACAAATACATGGGGTTGTAAGAAGGACATTCAGACAGTTGTTATAAAATAAGATAAAAATTTGTTTTTATATTTTAATGTTTTGTGCTTGTCTTATGTTTTTGAGCAAATAAAAAAAACATAACTATGTGTAAAACTCCTGCCAATCTATGGCGATATTTATGTTCATGCTACAACGTGGCTGTGGTGGTGCAGTTCAGTGATTAGCTGTGGACTGACGATAGTCTTATCTGACTGACATGCAGCTAATTTGAGTCTGGTGGGTGCACACCCAGGCTCCCATGCTTAACACTTAATAACTGGACAATGAAAAACTGAACCAGACAGTAAAACTATTCATAACCCTTGAACTTTTCTACATTTCGCCGACACACCTATGTATGGCATTCTTTGTGATAAACTAGGACGAGGAAGTGCATAACTGTTCAGATGAAGAAAAGCAATATGAGTTTTTTAAAATTAGTTTTTTTTACAAATTCTGAAAAGCGCTTTACTCTGATACCCCTAAATAAAAAAAAAAAAACATGTAACAAATTAACTTTGAGATTACTTATTTAGTAAACAGCAGGTTTATTACAGCACTAAAGAATGTCACTATTGAAGAGCAAAACTAACACTGCACATCATCCTCAAAGTTAAGCACGGTAGTGGCAGTACCGTCCCGCGGGGATGTTTTTCTACGGCAGGGACAGAGAAGCTGGTCAGAGTTGATGGAAACGGGAAGAAAAAGGGATTTATTGTATGACGTTTGCTCCAAGTCAACATTTAAAGTGTAAGATTTTATTCAAAAATTACCATTTTGTAATGAACCATTTTGGTTCAACTTGCAAAGTGAACAGTTTGCTGAATTGTCACAATTCAGCTGTATTAAGGTCTTGCTTAAAGCAGCCAGCACATTTTTCATGCTGTAGAATAAAGCAGTTACTTGTGTTCCCTTTACCAATAAAATATATATATATTTTTTTTTTGACTCCGCTGCATTTACTTTAAGGTTAAAGTCACCTGTCATTTGACGCTGTACAGCTGAGGCCCAGCAAAGGCTCAAAAGTACATAAACTACATTAACTCTCTCTCTGTTTATTCTTCCAGGCTCACATCAAGTTCCCAGTTGACTACCCATACTCCCCTCCTACGTTTCGCTTCCTCACCAAGATGTGGCACCCAAATATTTACGAGGTGAGAGCTTTCGGCTGATCTGGATGTAATGCCCACTTTTGTTGGTCATATGGCTTTTAGAGTTTCTGTTGCACTGAAGTTGTTGTTTACTTAATGAGGTTTACAGTGGTTAAAGCACGTTTTAGTGACAACCTACGCATGCGTTAGGTAATAAGAGAGTTTTGGTTAATAACATTTGATTTATTTTTATTTTTTTATTATTTCTTACTGATTCTCCTCAAACAGATTTCAGATGGGATAAATAAGACGGTTGCATTTATGTCTTATTTCCTTTTTGGGCTCCAAATACGTGACATAAGCCATCAAAAAAACAAAGATTTATTAAATCTCACAGTTGTCATTTGCAACAAAAACGAGGCTCATGCTAAGTGCTTAAAGACTCAAATTGATGAGATTTTGTTATCTTGCTCCACAAAAGGTGCATGTAAACTTTGCAACGATCTAGGACAGAAATAGGTTTAGTGTGAAAGACTGTTCAAATATTGCTACTTTGGTTTTGTTCTACGTCACATTCTTACACATTGTTTGGTGCATTATGTTCAATGGAAGTTTATATTCCTTTCTGAGAAACATAGCAGATGAAAAAACTGTGTGCCTTACAGAAGACCATCACCCAGCCAGGCTGAAACACTAAACCACAGCTGTGCTTCAGTAAAATGAGTGTTGTGATCGGCCCTTACAACGCAGATTTAATTTTTTTTTTATCGTAAAAAGAGAGTAAAATAAAACCTTCTTTCTTTTTTCCTAAGCACACCTCATTCATCTTGTCGGAAAACACCATGAGGATAGTCCCGCAGCCTCACTCGAATTTACTAAGGACTTAGGAAAAGTAAACTGTGCTGCAATGAAAATCCAATAATCACGTAACTCAAACAGATTGTAAGTTGAACTTCAAAATGCAAAAAGAAGAAACAGGAGCAAGAGAGAGAGAGAGAGAAAAAAAATAGAAGGTAAAAGATTAAGACTTGTATTTGAACTCAAACAGCCTGTTCATTGAATCAAAAATAAGCACACAAATGTGACTTTCGTGCCATTTTTGTGTCGTGCATCAACACCGCCATGAGCTCATGAGGGATTAGGAGGAAGGCAAAGACAGTGGAACAATATCTGTCATATTATAATGACAGATGTCAGTAGAATCTCTTCTTGATTTTTTTTTTTTTTTTTTTTAGCATTTCTTATGTGTGTGCCATTTGTTGTTTCCCCAGAACGGAGATGTGTGCATCTCCATTTTGCACCCTCCGGTCGACGACCCCCAGAGCGGGGAGCTGCCGTCTGAGAGGTGGAACCCCACCCAGAACGTCAGGTATTCCCTCTGCAACACGCGACGTCTGGTGATTTTTGTTGTCTTGGATGACTCTTGAAAGCAGGCTAAAAACAAAACAAAAAAAAAACCTGAAGGAGTGACTGTTTATTTTGTACATCTTCTAAAGAGCAAAAATGAAACAGAGGCCCCATTTGTCTCTTCAATCTCTCATGCATTTTATTACAGTTTGATGCTAATTTAGAAAACACAAGGCTTCGTTCTTAAAAAAATTTAAAAAAAAATAAGCAGGGGGTGTGGGAGGGGGGAGACACACTGATAGAGCAGCTTTGTTGAATAACTGCTAAATTTAGCACGTCAGCAGGATTCACATCACAGAGGGAAAACTGCTGAGTCCGTGTTTGGGAACTCGAGCAGAGTGGAGGTAGCGTGTAATTGAGCCACATGAGGGACGCAGGATGAGCATAATGTTTCTGACCGTGCCGATGCAATCCGATGCCTGACTGTGTGTACGTGTTGCTGTGCTCTCTCTGCCGTCAGGACGATCCTGCTCAGTGTGATCTCTCTGCTCAACGAGCCCAACACCTTCTCGCCAGCCAATGTAGACGCCTCGGTCATGTTTCGCAAATGGAGGGACAGCAAAGGCAAAGATAAAGAGTATGCAGAGATTATAAGGTAACGCACTGCGGTGGCTGTAAACGGGTGCCTCTGCTGCATGGAGTTAATTTACTTTAATGATTCACTTCCAAACATTGATCTCAGGTGCCATTTAGATTCATCACACACAGAGTGATCAAATACTTTGTGTTGTGCTTAACAGTTTTCATTGTAAGAAAATTATGTTGGTAGTAATTTTACCCTGATAAAGAAATAGTCTCCATTCACATCCGTCACCTGTACTGGACCAACCAGATTTAAATCATTCCTGAAATGCGACTGGTTGAAAGATCATGTCTTCATCTCCAAAGTAGTCTTACTAAATTAAACGATATGCAGCGTTTCACCTTTTTGTCATGTTTCTCTGTTTCCAGAAGGAAACATTTTTGAAGTCTGCCATATTTAGTGATGTCTTGTTTCAGTGAGATGCAGTTTAAACCTGTATTTTAAAGGCCAACACTAAGCTCAACGTTTTTTCAAACTCTTAGTTGTTTTCTCCCACTCCTCCCGCCATCTTACCTGCAGGAAGCAGGTGTTGTCAACGGCGGCGGAGGCTGAGCGGGACGGCGTGAAGGTGCCGACCACGCTGGCCGAGTACTGCGTTCAGACCCGGGTCCCCTCTCAGGACAGCAGCTCCGACCTGCTCTACGACGACCTCTACGACGACGACATGGAGGAGGAGGACGAGGACGAAGACGAGAGCGAGATGGAGTCCGTGGGGGAGGCCGGGGCCATCAGCTGCCTGGAGGACTGTGGGACGTCCACCAGGCGCTACGACAACCAGGACGACTCTGGCAACGAAGACTCATGATGATCTGGACGATAAATCCTCCCTGAAAATTTAGTCCCGCGGTCGTCTTTCATTTTTCGGAGTATGGAGTATGGAGTATGGAGTATGGAGTGTGTGTGTGTGTGTGTGTGTGTGTGTGTGTGTGTGTGTGCGTGCATGTGTTTGCACAAACAGTGGGGTCAAAAGTCTACTGCCAAAACGTTTAATCATTTGTTAAACTGATACAAGTTTGATTGAGTCACTGTTTTCACACGCTGTCAAAAAAAAAGAAGAAACAACAATTTTGCAACAGATGTTTGTTGGCACTATTTCCACTTAAAGTCAGAGTTTGGTGTTCTCACCGTTTGCCTTAACAACACTTTGCACTCTGTCTAATGTTTATCAAAGTTTGAGTAAAGAAATTATTCCAGCCCAGTCTAGGAGATTCTTCAAAATATTACTAAAACTCATATTTTAGATTTATAAAGCATTCAGTCATTTTTCGTCCTCCATCTCCGCATGCAAACTTCAAACTAGACGACCCTCCCCATGAATATTTGCATCTCCAATCTAATTTAATTTCCATGCTGTACCAGTTCCTCTCGTATTTTTACTACACTCATGAAAATGTGATTACTCTCCATCCTTGCTTTGTGCCTTCAGTGTTGGCACAGTTGAGTGTGCTTCATGGACGCCATCTGGAGTCTGACTGGCCCAGGTTTGAATGACGGAAGAAACTTTGTGCGATCTTTGTCTTGACAATGCCACTATTGTTGAAAACCTAATGAATAGGTTTATTTTAGTATATGAGTTCTTCATTAGTGGAAATGTACTCATTAAAAAAATGAAACAAAGCGGGTCTTTTGAGCTCGACAGGCTGTCGGCGCTGAGGAATGACGATAAGTTGCATTATCTGCCTGGAGTTGAGAGAGATTGGATCCGTGGTGTGTTTTCTTGCAGCTGTTTTCCCCATTTACCTAATTGAGACTATGTGTTCTCTGACTTGCCTCTTGTATTTCCTGCTGCGTTTCAGTCTGGTGAGGGGGGGACACTCGGCCCTTTGGCTCATTAGGTGATCAATGAGCTGGGCAGCTTGTCCTCTTGTCAGCTTGACGACTCTGTCTCTCGAAGTTCTCCGTTTGACTTTCACTTGATTGTCTTCCAGTGTCTTGGAAAAATGTCCACAACCCATCGCCGATACCACACTGCAGCCATTTGAACGTGTGTATTTTATGGACACAAAGTGTAAAAAAAAAAAAAAAAAAAAAAAAAAGGGGTTTAAGGGGGGGGAATACTACTGTCACTCAATTTTTCTGTAATATCTCAGCCATTCGAGCTTCAGGGCCTCAGAGAGAAATGACAGTCAGAAATGACTCAAACTTGTGCTTTGATGCTACTTCATTAGAATTGAAAATGTATTTCTGTTAAAAGAACAGAAAAAAATCATTTAAATAAGACACTGATTGCCTGTTACCTGTTTGTGTGTGTGTGTGCGTGTGTGAGAGGATTTACTTTTAGCATTTTTTTTGTTTGTTTGTTCTTTATGATGTCAAGTTTTTTATCTCCACCCAAACGTCCCTCCATTGGATTACAGTCAGACTCTCGTCACCTGAGCGATGAATGAAACTTCCAGCTCGAGAGAGAGGACTCGTCTTTTATTTCCTGCTTTTCTGCCAGCCTGAATCGGCTGGAGATTTTGAGGGATTAAAAAAACAAAACAAACAGACCTTCTTAGTATTAAGCTTTTTGAACACGCTGAACAGCACAAAGTGACTGACGTAAAACACATGAATCTCACACAATCTTTGCGCTCTGAGAGTCTCTCGTCCCGTTTGAGCGCTCATTTCAAACGGATGGATTTTTACGCCACGGACAAAAACAAACCCCCACATGAGGTCTCATCTGAAAAGCATGCTGAGGATTTACATGTTTTTTTTTTGTTTTTTTTTTTTTTCACTACACTTATAGGATACCCATTGGATTTTAATGTGAAGCTGAAGGAGTGAAAGCTTTTTCTCCTGGTCCTGTTCTTTGGGGGGCCACAGAAAGTGAGGAAGACTCTGGAAATGGACCTTCAACATGATTCGGTAAGATGCCCACAGATTTCTGGTTGTCACTAAATATTGCCTACTTTTGCCCACCCACCTCCCACTCCCAACCCCAGTCATGCACAAACATAAACCTCTGTTAACGATCTAAAAACCTTGCATATCTCCAAGACGAATTGTTCAACATGTGATGTGCACAGATCAGCTATAATATTATGAAATCCATAATATTATAGCTTTGAACCCCTTTTTTAGGCAGTAATTGATTACTTTTACGTTTAAGGAGTGATTTTAAGTGGCTTTAATTGGACTGCTGGGTCCTGTCATCTCCACTAAAGAGTTAAGAGATGCAGCTGTCAGGTTTTCGCTGGACAAAACTAATTTCTAGTTTTCTTTTTGTTCAGACCTGCCAAATCCCAATTTTTATTTTATTTCTAAGCGTTATAGATACAGATGGAACAATAAGGCTTAATAACTTCTGGAGTTCTGTGAGGACCGCTCTGCTAATTCAAATTTTGACAGATTCCACGTTTTTTGTTTTGTTTTTTTCCCTCAGCAAACATAACATAAAAAAGAAACAAAACTGTGCAGGTATTATGATGTCAGTTGTAGTTTTGAGTCCAACATAAAAAATAAGATATTCCACTATCATCCCTAGTTATGCATCATCGCATATAGCTTAGTTTATTTATTTATTATTATTAAACTCAACAACAGTGCACCGCTCTAGGTTAATTTGACTGAGGTCTGAAAATGTTCTTAATCTTAATGCATTTTCTAAACTCGGAGATATAACATCCACTCAAATGTAAATTTCAGTGAAAAATTAAAAGTAACATGCATTTACCAAAAAAAACGGGAAAACGTGCTGCAAATTCATCGACAGAGATCGTAGCTTTGAATCCAACAAAAAATGAAAAATGACTATTGTTCATTCATCAGACTGTGTCTCTATCACATTCAGTGTGGAGTGAAGGGTTGAAATATGTTTTGACTTATCAGTGATTCTGAGGTTTTCCTGCTGAGTTTTAATTATTATTTTTTTTTTTTAAAAGGAAAACAACTGTGGATTTCCAGGTCTGATATTAATTGTATAAAACCTAGAAGCTAGACGTTCCTGCAGTATGATCCACAACCTTTACAAACCCACAGAACTTTCCAGGGCTTTCCTGTTGCCTCCTTGCAACATGAAAATGTGCTCATTTAATAGAAAAAGTGACACTTCTTTGCTGCTAAAAAGTACAGCTGAATGTACCTAGGATTAAAGTTACCACTTCCTGGAAAATCCCCTCAATCCACTGAAAAACACACTAGTGAAGTCCAAGAAGTGATAAAATAATGAATAATCAACTTCTAGCGTCCAAACTAACCTAAATCCAAGTAACCATAGCAAAGAGAATGGGGGAAACCCCGTGTATTTAGCTGTAGCTGGTTGCGGGTTAGCTTATTTAGCGTTTAAAGAAAACAAAAAAAAAAACAAGCCTGGCTCTGTCCAGTAGTAACAAGGGGTACTAATGAGTACCTTTGGGTAAATAAAAACACAGCTTGTGCTTTTACTTGGACTCGGTTTCTGTGCGGGACTACCCTCCGAGCAGGAGACATGACCTCCGACAGAATTAGGCTAATTGTTCCCCTGATTCCCGCTTGTGCTAAGCTAGCTAACTTGGTGCGGTAGCTCGTATATTTACCACATGTACCAAAGAGCTGCATCGGTTTTCTCAAGGATGTGAAATAAATTTCCACATCTGCTTAAGAGTCAAGTGTCAGTTCCTGGCAAAGCTTCAGATCTGTGATTGAGGCCTGGTAGGAGCGACAGCATCACCCAGTTATAAACTAAATGTCGGCCTTGGTTTTTATGAGGTAGAATGGAGGAAGGCAAGAGCTATTATTAAAAAAACAAACAACTCCAAATTCCCTACACAGCCCCACACAAAATCTGAAATCTTTTAATTTAATGGGGTTTTTTTTTTTTTTTTTTTTTTTTTAGAGTAAACAAATCCCCTCCAAAAACTCCACAGTGAAAGACGGACCCATCCACAATGTCCATCCTGTTGATACTGATCCATGTTTGATTTTATTAGATTTTTTTCTTCTATTGCAAGGGTGCAAATTTTATACATGAGGTTTCCATTTTTGCAGACCCCCTTCAGTGTTGGGTTTGATTGTAAAATGATTTTGCTATCCCTCACTGAGCCTAAATATCATCAAACATGAAACATTTAAAGAAAGTAGGTCTTCAGGCTAAAGTTGAAAAAGTATGCAAGAGTAAAATTATTGTGTTCGAGTTGTAAAGTCATTAAGAAATAAATAAAAGTTGGTCTTTGATCAGTGGCTGTCGCTTCTTTCTGCTACGTTTGTAATTTTTTGGCTTCTATGGTTGATTTATGGCTCCAAAGCACACAAGGGTTCAATAATTTTTACAGCTTTTATTTCATGCTGTCCATCAGCTAAAGAACATTCAAAGAAGAAAATGTGTCAGTTAAGAAATCCATTTTCACTTCACAAAATTCTTCATGTGACTTTTATTTTACAGACAAAACGTGTCTGTAAAATAAAGTGCTATTCTTTTTATCGTTAGTTTTCAATTAGCGGGGAAGAACAAAGCATTTTCCTCCAGTTCCAGTTTTACTGACCTATAATCAGGAATAGTTTTAAATAAAAGTATCCCAAAAGCTATTAAATAGAAAACTTTTTATCTGAGCCGTTCAGCCTGAGTGATGTTCCTGGGTACAAACTGTCTGTGTGATTTAATCCTCTAATCGTTTTACTGCTGATTTTATTACAGGGAAATGATATGCTCACTTACCTACTTTTTTTAAATTTATTTTTTAAATTTTTGAATCGGTTGCTTTTATTTCAAAATTATAGAAGTCAAAATGCCACATTAGGTGGCAAATTAGTGTTTAATTTCAGTTTAACTTTTGTGTAATTACATGGTGGAAGTAAAAGGATGCAGATAAAACTGTGCCATTGCAAATCAGAAGAGCTCTGAGTTTGTTAACTTAAATATTTCTAAGCAATGGATAGTAAACTAGTTAAGCCTACAGTGAACATTTCCTGTATTCGCTGGTTTGGTAACATTAGGAGAATAAATTCTGTCCTTTTTTTAATGTAAAGCTGAAGATACTTATTGAAAAAAAAAGTATTAAAATGAATATATCCAGACAAAAAGCTGAAAGATTTTAAATGGAACAAATTTCTATGGAAAATCTAGTTTGATTATAATACTGAAGTCAAATTGGATCTTCTGTCATTTTTGTACATTAACTGTAACGTTGCAGTTTGCACTGTTGTATGTTTCTCATTAATTTGTTTAACATATGCAAAAATGTTAAAATTAGGCGTTTTCCCCGCATGTAACCTAATGCTTTTAAAAATAAGAATATACTGAAATAAAAGCTTATGATTAGATCTGTTGTTCCTAAACTTTGCCTGATTTAAAAGCCAAACATTTTGCAAAATGAATAAAGCAATCCCACATGATAAAACCTGATTTAAATTGTTTTTTAACTGAACACATATTTCTCCAGAGTTCTTTAAATACTCCACATTTTGAAGAGGAACTGATCCAAGTTTGTTCAGATGCTTTTACCACATCAGTATGTTGTGGTTTCATAACTCTTTTAGAACAGGATTATAAAAATAAGTGAGGAAAACCTTCTGTCCCAAAAATATCAGAATATGATCAAATATGCGGGAGAAAACGCTTGAAAATTCACTCAAAAACAAACTTGTAGGAACCTGTATTTAAAGCTGGCACACCGATTCCAATACAGAAAACACACATAGAAATATATTGATGACCTAGCTTACACAACCCAGTTTCATAACAAAATTGGCAAACAGGTTCAATGCTATCCCAATGTTGTTGGTTTTTTTTTTCCCCCACTCATTTTTAGTGTGGATTTTCAGTCATTCGGGTTATGGCTATCCTCATCAGTTGCATCTTGAGAATATTTTCCTTCTCATTACACCAAAAAAAAACATAAAAATGTTTTTGGATGAGATCAAACACCTATGTGAAATAAAAACACGCTTGCTTTCAATAAGGCCACTATTTCTTACATGTTGTATGTTCATAGTAATGAAGCTGCATGCTTATCTTCTGTGCAGCATCAACTTTGTCAAGCTGTCAAGAAGGTGAAATATTCTTTAAGCTTCGTGGCGTTGTGTTTGTCTCCCCCTTGTGGTACAATCAAATGTTTACAACTGACAATGGAGTCAGATGAAGAGCCGTGGCGCCTCTAATATTAACCGTGAAGTGTTATAATTAACAAAGGTGAGCAAAAGGCGTTTTTTTTCTTCTTAAAAGTCCGGCTGTATTGAGTTTCTTCTTCCTACACGATGTGTTTTTGATTTTTTTTTTTTTTTACATCAAAATGTTTTTATTTAAAGATCTTCATGTGACTAAAACCAATGAAGTACCTGTACATAAAGTATGTTATCACATACACATAAACGTGTCTCCAAGGCAGCCCAGATTTAGCGTAAGAAGTCGCTGCCTTTTACAGGTCATATAAGTTTTTGTTCCAGATTATTAGGAGATGATTGTAACAGTAAACATAAAAACAATTTTTTATGATAGCTTCACTTACTATTAAAAGAAAGAAAAGTTAATGTTAAAAACTCATTTCAGGTCATTTGAAATGTTCGTTTTGTTGAAAGATAAATGAAATCATCATTTGAAAACTGCATTTTATATTTATCCATTTCTTTTTCACTTCTCAGTAGATTAAAGAGCAGAATCTATAGATACAAACGGAGACGAATATTTAACTTAAACCCTGAGAAAGAAAAAAAAAAACTTTATCTGAATGATCTTTCCTCAGTGTTAGTCCCGCTGAGCCTCCAAGTGTCTCTGAGCGGCCCTCAGTGTCTCCTGCAAGTCTTTGTACCCCGCCAGCCTGCAGGCCTCCTCCAGCTGGGCCCAGCGGTAGTCCTGGTGCTCGTCGGACAGCGTCACCGCCGCCTCCGGGCTTCTCAGCTCGGCCAGCCAGTACAGCACCTCTTTGGGTCTGCCGCGAACCTCGTAGCGCAGCTCCTGCACGAAGCCGTCTATAACCTTCAGATGCTCCGCCCCCAACCCTGCTTCCTCCTTGGTCTCCCTTAGAGCCGTGGTGAGGTCATCCTCACCTGGGTCAACGTGACCTGGGAGTACCACACGTAAGATGAAATAAAAACAAACTGTGCATCCACACAACGTGGTATTTTATTGTAAAAATGACAGACGAGGCTTTGTGCAGACCTTTGGGTGGGGTCCAGTGGTGCTCCCCATAGGAAGTCTGCAAGAGGAGATACTCGATATTCCCCGGAGGGGGGTTGAGGCCGGCGAGGCGACGAAACACTATAAACCCACAAGCTCGCAAAGCCATCTTCTCTTATGTTTTAGAAAGTTTCATCCACAAAAACTGCTGGGAATGATAAAGTAGACGCCTTACTGTTCTGTTTTCAGAGATATTTTCATTGAGAGCCCCAGTGAGCCTGCTGCGCATCAAGACAATTCGTCCGACTGCAGTTCAAGACAGACACATTTGTTCCGCTGTGTGGTGGCTCGGAGTACTCAAGGTTTGCACTGTATTGGATGTAGTGTAAAAACAGTCCGGCCGTTTCTCACCTCACCTGTTAATATTAATGACTAAAATGTCTAAATACATTTCCTGACTATGAAAAGGTACTATATGAGGCTAAATAAAAAGCATAGCGGGAGAGAGAAAAAAGAAACAAATGAAAAATTTTTTTTTTTTTTTTGCTGAAGAGGGACATTTTGTATTATTGAAAATTTTGAACAACTGGCTGAATAACCTAAAATTAATAAGTTAAAAAAGAAAAAAACAATTAAAAAAAGAATAACATCAAAATAAAATACATCAACAAACACCATACAAAGACACTTAAACACTACATCTTTCCTCCAGGTTTTAGTATAATTTAAGCTCAAAAAGATACAACAGAGCAAGTTTGGTATAATCTGATCAGTGTTTTTATTAACTGATCATTCTCTATCAGCGTAAACATCTGTCATGGAACATGCTGGACTTGAGAATGGAGAATGTTGGCAGCTGTTAAGACAAAGATTGTTGTTCTAGCATGGTGACCGTAGAAATCAATCGCAGGTTTAAATGTTAACTTCATAATCATTTTGTCTTTGTTAAAAAAAAATAGTAAAATCAATTTCAGGGCTACTGCTTTCTCACACCCTCAGTGTGACTTAGTCTCTACTAACATAAACGGTAAAACCTTTTCAAAAAAGGTTTCACAGAATGTTGTTATATCTTCTCATACTTGCAGCTAAGAAAGTTGATATCGTCATTTTTACTGTTGCTATGTGAGCTGCTTGATTTTTGTCCCCATTGTGATGTCACCAAGTCAAATACTCACAATTGCAGTTTTTTTCCCTTTAAATCCACATTTTAATGTATGATTTTTGTGTGTGTGGAAATTAACCACCTTATGTCTTTTTGTCAGTCTCCACTTGTTTGTGAAAATATACACACCCCTGGATAGTATCTTTAAGAATGGTTTCCAGTTTTTAGAGCCTGCACAGCTGTCAAACAGCACCATCCCTCCTATCTCAGGCCTATCTTCCATGTCCTCAGACGCCAACGCCCTACAGCTGCCACCAGTCAGGTTCAACTTCAGAACCTGGAGAGGAAGATGACTTAGCAATGCTAAGCTCTCCTTCTGGACCGCTCTTCCACAAACAATCACAGACCGCAAAGAACCACCCACATTCAAATCACTTCTCAAAGCACGGCGTTTCGAAAGAGCTTAAAACATTTCACGATTTTACATTCTGTTGTAGTATTTTATCCTATTTCTTGTCCGTGCTCAGCGTGTGTACGAGTGTCTCGTGAAGCGGCTGATAATTCTCTGTAATAAATATAAAACCAATGGGCTAAATAATTAAGAAGAACCATTTCTGCACGATCAAACAGCCTGTGTGGGAGAGGCAGAAGGCTAAGACCCTCAGATGTCATCAGAATTAATAGAGTGTGCTTCATGTCTGAGGCTGGTTAGATAAGGAACAGACCCAGAGGAGGCTGGACCAACTGAAGGCAGCCTGTGTGAGAAGATAATAGAAATGAGCCCTCCCTTCACCCCTGAGCTGTCAGCAGAGCAGTCCTTCATTTTGAAGAAGGAGTCACAGCTGCTGGGTTTCAAGGTAAAGTCAGAGTGAGAGCTAAACCGCCTTTTGTCATTAAAAAAAAAAAAAAAAACAGATTTTTTGTTTGTCATGTTAACGTCTCTATAAATCAAAGCGACATTGAAAAGTTCGTTAAGCTTAGCGAGTCAATTCAAGGATGGGAACTTGTGTGCTCTGTTGGTTTTGGTATGTGCTCGACGTATTTAGAGCGTTTGCTTGTGTTAAGCTTGATGATTGTGGCTTACGGTTTGTGAAAATTTACAGTTTTCAGTTAAAATGATACTTGTAATAGACACTGCTCAAAAAAATAAAGGGAACACTCAAATAACACATCCTAGATCTGAATGAATGAAATATTCTCATTGAATACTTTGTTCTGTACAAAGTTGAATGTGCTGACAATAAAATCACACAAAAATCATCAATGGAAATCAAATTTATTAACCAATGGAGGCCTGGATTTGGAGCCACACACAAAATTAAAGTGAAATGTTCCCTTTATTTTTTTGAGCAGTAATAGAAATGTGGACCTGCTGAAAAGCACATCTATCCACTGTGCAAATGTCCAATCATCTTTTGCCTGAGTTAATTCATCAGCGCCGCTTTGGCTCTTTGAGTAAGTTAGGGTCGCTTTTAACTTTGACTTCTGACCCGTCGGCTCAGATGTTCCTCGTCTCTCACTTGAGAAGACGTCATAGATTCTCTACAGATTTTAGGAGGCCCAGCCACAGCAGAAGATGACATGTTTGTCTTAAATCATCACTAACTTTGGAAAATTCACACTGGACATCAAGTAATTTGGGTTCTGGGTCTATTCCTTCCTCCAGCAGACTTTGGGATCTTGCTATACAAATGTGAAGCAAAACCTATACGTTCATCTTTGGAGTGTTTCATAACACATTTCGGTGTTATTCTGTATTATTATTGTATTACAGTTTCTTTTTTTGTACATTCTTCCTCTTCAAAGCCCTTTGTATTGCCTGGTTGCTGAAAATGTGCTATATAAATAAAATTATCTTTAAATTTATCTTTTTTATTTTGGCCAGGGGCTTGAAGAGATGCTACTTCTGATGCTAATAAAGAGCTTTTTCAGCCTGTGATACAGCAGAGCTCATTATCCCACTTTTCTGTACATGGAGCAGATTTTATCTAACATTTCTGATACATGCTGCCTCTTTGGGGGGTTGCACGTGTTCATGATGTAGCACTGTACCCTCTGGAGGCAGTGATATTGGCAAAATATAGTTGGATTTGCCATTTCATAGATCCATGTAGGTCGTTTATTTAATGCAGTTTCGCATCAGGACCTGTTTTTTTTTTTTTTTTTTTTTTTAAGCTTTCTCTTGCTATTTCTGACAAAGACGTCTAGCGGATGTTTAGTAAGCGATGACAAGGCAGATATTAGGGATTAATGGTTTTAAAGTGCGGGGAGAAGAGTTGATCGGTGCCAAGGATGTTCTCGCTTAAATGTTCTGGAGGTGTTGTGGACTTAATCTAAGCTGACAACTGAGACGTGAGGTGCCAACACAATAATCCCTTTGACAATTTATTAAAAGAAGAAGAAGAAAAAAAAAAAACCTCAGGATGTAGTGAAAGTTCTCAAATTAACACACATCAGAGAAAAACTTTGTTGCATCTTGAACCAGACTCACGCAGAGAGCCATGGAGGAGAAAGAGGAGCCTGGAAGACTTCACTTCGTCGGCAAGAAGGATGAGCTGATTAAGGCAAAACGCTCTTTCCGGACTTTGGAGGGTCGAGACGTTCTGATTATCTACCATCAGGGAGTCTTCTATGCTATGGACTGCTACTGTTACCGTGAGTAGGATGTTTCTGGTGGCGATTCAAAACATTTTTATTTGCCCCCAATTTCAACATTATGTCGCAGATAAGTTTATTACGTAGGAGAGGATTTCATTACCAGGCATCAGACTTTAATGAGCAGAACAATCTGTTGTGAGACGCAGCCTGTGATAGAAGATTGTCACTACTGGATCGGTTAAAGCAAATAAGAATCCAATTTTCCAGAAAATCTCTCATTATTAATGTTGTTGTGACTTATAGATGCTAATAATAGTTACTATTGTGGCACCCTACAGGCCTCCACAGAGAATCATGTTCATGTCAAAGGAAGCCATACAGAGTTATCTTCTTCAGTACTTCAATACTGGGATAAATTAATAAGTAAATAAATTAATAAGTAAATACAACAAATACTAATATATAAATAAATAAAATTAAAAATGAATTGTTTTTTCTTTTTACAATTTTTTTTTTTTTTTGCTGTTCCGGACTGAATTTTTCACTGAATTTTTCATTTCACACTGAAAATTTCCTGGGGCCACCACTGACCCTACAGAGCCATAGGTTTAAGATTTGATGTTTTTCAATGTGTTGAAACACATTTTCAAGTCCCTACAGTCTTAATAATTTACATTAAACAATAAGTAAATTTTCAGGAAACTGGGTTGATGTTGCATTACAGGATTCCTTTTTGCAGAACAGTGTATAAAACTCTGCATTTATCTGTGTGTGGGGGACATCAGCTCTCAACTCATGTAGACAGATACAGCCGTCTTGTTTGTCTGCAGTTAAAAAAAAAGGAAAACTTGTGTTCTTCGTACAGATGCCGGAGGAACATTGGAGAATGGAGACATAGAGGTGAGTTTCCCTTTGACTTCATATCAGATTAGCCTATAACGTCGCGTAGGTCAGGAGGGAGCACTGAACTTTAAGTCTTTTATTTTCACCCTGCGCTCGCTCTCACATGTTAATCCATTTGTACCTTAATCACCTACCACCTCCTGCTGGGTCGAGACACGGAGAATTACTGTAATTACCATGTCAAATTTGCATTGCATTAACATATCACCCACCTGCTTTGTTTCCAAACAAACACGCTTTACACACAGGAGATCAACGGCAAGCTGTGCATAATTTGTCCAAAGCACAAGTACAAGATCACTCTGGCCGAGGGGGAGGGCCTGTACAGGGGCAGGAACCCCCAGGAGAAGCCGCCGGTGTTCAGGTGGTACTCCAAAGGGATAAAGCAGAGGGTCCACACGGTCACGGAGGAAAACGGGGAAATCTTCGTCAAGCTCGTGATGATCCCAAACCAGGTCGATTCGGACTACTACCAGGGAGAGAAAGGCAAGGTGGAAAGAGCCAAGGCCGAGGAATCTGAGGGGGACATGCCTGTGATGAAAGATGACGAGGAGGATGACTGAAGTTTCTTCCGCTGATCTCAGAATGAACTGTGACTTTTGCAAGGATGTTCACTGATACAAGCCGAGACATGACCTGCTTTAGCGTAGAAGTTTAAATGATATATATTTAATAAATGAATCATTTTGGTCCCACTTGGTAGCCGCATGTTGCCATACTCTCTTCGGCTCCATCTCTCCCTCATGAATTATGCAGCTGGATCGATGTGATAAAAAGCTCTATAGTGATCAATACAGTCCTGAAGTGGAGAGTCATTTACATAAAAAAATAAAAACATCATGCAACAAAAGTGGCTGGTTTTTTTAATTATTAACGTAGTAGGTGACACAAAACAAAACATTTTGTGGAATTAATTGCCTTATGTTGTGCCATGCCTTTCAATCATACTCTTGCTTCTTGAATTATTTTTGCTTTCATTTTTTTCACTATAAAACCACAAAGTAGCAACATATTTTACTGGATATTTTTGCTAATGGCCACAGTGTTTGCAACACTAATATTCTCCCATACATCTGTGGGTTCCTCAAGCTTCTCAGGACCGCGTTGCAGAGCAGTTCTGCATTATTCTTTTCATTTTGGCACAGAGTTAAGGGTCAAGGCACACTTTTCAGATTTTTATTCGTAAGAAGTTTTAAATATCATAGATCATTGTTCTTCCTCTTCACAATAAAGGTTAATTTTGTGCTGTTTTATCACATAAAATTCCCCTTGAAATACATTGATG